TCTTAGGCTGTCGACGTACTAGCTCTTATAGCCTCCCAGCCCGACGAGGTGCAGCCTTCGCGCTCCCATCTCTACGGTGTCTCCCTTTTTCGTGACTGTCGAGCGCGTGCCGAAACTCAGATATATACTCACTTGAATTCGCGTATTGAGGAGTTCTGCAGCCTTGCCTCCTACGATGGTATCTTTGGAGGTCCTGGGGAGGGCACTCTGCCCCTCGATCAACTACCGGACGCCTTGAGCGAAGATACCAGTCCACGCACTAGTGAGTACATGGTCGACATGATGGCTTGGCTGGGCTCTACTTTTGCCGCCTTCACCCACCTCCCGCCTAAGGTGGCTCATACAGCCTGCATATCGGCGTGCAAGTATATTGTGAAAATCCTACAACGTATCCTCATAGGTCCCGAGGTGTGTTTTGATTGCTGTCGTTTGCAATATTTGTCTTGTCTTTTCGACCAAGCATTCACTGCTTTGCTGCACTAAACGTGGGTAACCATCAAAGCTGCATGTGATTTGTGGTGTAGCGCTTCAAAATGGCTTCTACAACCTTACAAATGTGGAATTCGCCTAATCCATGTAACCGTTTGCGCGAGGCATACGTCGATTCAAATACGCCAGTGTGTCAACTCAATTCACTGCTCCTTCTTACCATTCTAAATTCCCGATTACGTATCGTGGCAAGGTGGTTAAACTTGACGAGTGTAGTTTACATTCTTCCGCTCTAGAAATCGAGTCAAATTAGGTTGCAACGCTGCTGACGCCCCTTGTAGGACGTTTTAATAAGAGTTTTGCGGTCTTACCCAACCCGCACGATGATGAAAATAATTGGCTTTCGTCTACATCATCCAGGAGGGAAGTCATGAGGCTCGGCAAGTATGGAAGTGCTCGCATATCATGCATTAACAATAGGCATAGTTAATTTTAAAATCTAGTTGTTTTTTTAGCAATTTTTTGATCCGGCCTTGGAAATGCTATTCGAATAGAGTTGTGAGATGCGGATTGGTGTTTAGTGTTAGGCACTTATCGTTGGGTCCTTTCGAACGAACCACTTAATACCCTGTTCCAAATGTCTAGAGACTCAATTAAAGCTCAGAAGACTCTGTTGGTCTTACGTGAAACCTAAAATGAACTTGGTCTTCTTGAATTGTTTTTATTCTCTGAAAGGCAGACTATAAGTCAACGTGCCTCCTTGGTCGTAGAGGAAAACAGTTTGACATAATAAAGCTATTACCAGTGAAAACGGATAACACAGGACTGAACAGTGTATGACTCCAGTGCAAAATATTATTTGAGAATGTGATGAAGATTGCTGCCTCAGTTATGCTAAGGGTCAAGAGTGCTATACGCATGCTTTATGTGGTTCAGTTCACCCTCCACTTTCAATCAGGACAGCAAACAACAATGTGGTAGAAATTAATGGGAGAGGGCCTCAGTCATCTGTTCATTTGCGCCGTGGTCTTAAAGCGCGATGTTGTTCTGCATTACGATATTCTTTCGTGGTCTGGCACATGATCGGTTTGAGTGATTTCAAAATTTATTATCGAGGTTAGCCAAGTTTGCGCCTGTACATCAAGGTCGTTCAT